TGTGTCTGTTCTCTTACTGTTGCATTATTCACATGTGCAAGTCAATTACCAACTTGCACAAAGCCCTTTGCTTTCCTATCTTCCATTTATTCCTGTGGCCCTTTCTTCTTAAATGAGCCATCTCTTTTCCAGCAAAAGAAAATGCTAAATTTTGAGTGAGTTGGAATAAAATGCATATGATAGCAGTTAAAAAAAAAAAGTGTCATTACAACACATTGAGACTCCTGTGACTCTCACAAAGGGATTTATGTGAACTAGAATGAGGAAATACTGTGAAATCTTACATTAGGTCTCTATTAGATACCATTTATGATAATTACAGCAACACCTTATCTAGAAGCTCTTCCAAACCAGGAGATTAATACATAATCAGGCAAGAGCCCTGAGACATTCTGGAGAGACATGGGAGGATTCAGAGAATTAACTAGTAAGAAAGGGTAAAAGAAAGGAAAAAGGAAAGTATGACCTTCACACTCACTGGTCAGTGTTACCTTAGCTGCAATCGCCTATGTGTAGTTCCACCACTGTTCTCTGTTATCTTATGTGTCTCAGTAAATCTGCTTCTTCCTCTAGATCAGAAGCATCTTGGAGCTGGGAACTAAGAATTTCACCTAAGTGTCTCCATGTCTACTACTACTTGTTAAAAGTAAAAACAGAGCTTACTAAATATAAACAGCTGTGGACTCAAGCTTGGCTTAAAAATTCTGGCTATCACTGAGTAGTAGAGTTACTATGGTTAGGTTTCTTGATGAGACCAGGCCTCACTTTTATGCCTACAAATTATATTCACAAAATCAACCTAATCCATTGGGGTGCAGCAAAATAATAGGCAAAGTATTAATTCATGGTTTGCATACAGCATCCAACAAGTGCCAACTGTTACAAGGTTTTAATATAATTATGTACAGGACTCGGTGAGATGGCTCAGTGGGTAAAAGTAATTACAAGTCAAGCCTGACACCCTGAGCTGGAACCCAATAACCCACAGTGGGAAGAAAGAAGCAACTCTCAAAAATTGTCCTCTGAACAGTCCTTTTACACAGTGTAAAAAGTATTTCTCTCTCCCTCTCCCTTCCCCTCTCTCTTCCCCTACTCTCTTTCTGTCTTTCTCACACACACATAATATATGATGATCACACAGAGGAATTACATATGGAATCATGCCTATTCAATAGTATAGATAAATAAGGGGAAAGAACCAGCACACAATACTCCCTTAAGAATGCTCCAGTCCCCAGGTAACACAGACCCCAATGCTGATGATTGCTGCTACTGGAAGGTACAGACCGAGTTTCCCTGGGGGACTAGGCATAGCTGACTACCAACAGACTGAGTTGATAAAAGAAACCTTCAGAGCTCCTACTTTCTGATGTGTTAATACCAAATTCTTTGTCTATATCATGTTTTGTTTAAAATTCTTATTTTATCATCTCTAGTTGATACTTATTTTGATTTGAATACTAACTTACAGTCTTTTTAAGCATAAAGATAAAGAAATACCAATAAAGGAGGAGGAAAGACGGAAGAACAAAGAGAAGGTAGAATATTAAGTAGCTCATCAAAAACTTGGAGTGTAAAAGTAACAATCTTAAAAACTTAAAAAATTATCATGGCAAAAAAGAGTTTATAGATCTGCTTATGAAAGCGTTATGCTAAATTCACAAGAAGAGTGCACCAGAGGAGGAAGTCTCAGATCCTGGTCAGAGGGTCAGCCTCATTGAACAGATAAGGCCCTTGTTGCCACCTAGAGAGTGTTGCTTGTGGACTTGTGGCACCAGCAACAACAGGCAGGTAATAAGAAATGCACACTCTCTGTTCCCACACAGAAGCAATGAATCTGGATCCAGGTTTAACAGGATTCACGGGTGACTCATCTGTACATTAAAGTTTGAGAATCATTAATATATGGGTTTGCTGTGATTAGATTAAAAAAGGAGGTTAATAAACCCCATAATTTATATATTTACATATATGCAATATGCTTTGGCTATCAATTATCCATCTATGAATTTAAGTCAATTAAGCTTTAAAAAATAGCCCCTTGAAGTCCTGATTGAGCAATACACTATGCTAAGACTGATAATGAAATGGGCCCTTTTCCTCATGTATACATTGGGGGAGTTATCAGTATTCAATTCAGAGGGTTATTGAGAAGGCTAAGAGCATGGCCAAAGGGAACATCACCCAGGTTTAAGAATAGCATAGTATGCAGACAGTGAAGGTAACCTGCAAAGATTCCCTTATCCAGCAGAAAAGGAAATAGTTACTATTGCTAAAAAATTGGTCAGCTACTATAGGCAGACATGTAATTAATGGCATTAAAGCAAGGTATGTAAATAAAATGCATGATGTATTAATACTCTGTAGGGATAAATATTGAACTCACAGTTGTAGATTGTTTCAAAATTGTAAAGGACATATAACTGGTGATTTACCATGCAAGTGTGACTTCAAGGGAGTCAGAGAAACATCCCACAAAGGCACATGCATTCAGATGGATGCACACTGGGTCCTGCAACAGCAGACAGAGAGCTCTTGTGCAGAGCAAGAGGACACTTGCATGACAAAGCAACCACATTGCTTGTCCACTTATCTCAAGCATTATTTGGGTGGGCTAAAGAGAGCTGTCATAGTCAAAGCCTTTGATCAAAATATGCAAGCTGAAGACCAAAAATAAAGTGTCATAACTCAAGTTTCCTACTTACGAGGTCTAAGAAACGGCTCTCAAGGTATTTCAAGGGTCTCCTAGATAAGTCCTTAGGGTGCTCTAAATCGGAGACTGCATTAGAAGCCAGAGTACCTTTACATCTCGGAGTTGATTTACAAGACCACAGAGACTGCAGAGGATATAACTACTGAGGCCAAGAGAGCCATGAGTTAGGAGGGCCAAAGGGAAGATAAAGGAGACAAATCTCTGTGTCTGCACAACAGGATTCTGGAGCTTCCTGGCCAGAGAAGTCACAAGCCATAAGATCTCAGCTGCAGAAGGCTGTTTTCAACATTTCTCCTCCCCTGATCTGGGCGAGAATACTCCTCTCATCTGGGATTACAGACAGCTGCTTCTGTGAAAAGAGGCTCTTAGTTCCCTTTTCTGAGCAGAAACATGACAACTCTATGAAAACAGTAAAAAAGTGCCAATAACAAAATTAGCAGAGTTGATAGCAAGCACATTATGTTAAAAAGAGAGAGTGGCAAGCAAAATATGCTCCTTAATGACATCTAGAGCCCTGGACTTGGTAAATATGTTCCTGTACCCTTTTAAAGGGGCAACTAAGAAAGGTCTGGACAGACTGGGCATAGCGGTGCAAACTTTGAATCTCACCATTTGGAAGGCAGAAGCACATTGCTATCTGGGACTTACAGGACAGACTGGCCTACATGGCTACTTCAAAGTAAGCCAGGGCAACATAGACCAAGTCTTAAACCAAACAAACAAACAGAAGCCAGGTAATTGTTCCTAGCACCACCGAATCACAGAAAAACCTGTAAGGAGGAGGCAAAACTGCAAAGGAAGTGATGAAATCTCAGGGGCTAAATAAAAGGTCCATGTGGTATGCAATCATGTTAGGGGTCCGGAGAGCTGGCAAAAGCACAGGAACAGACTGTCTCCTAGAACCGCCCCTTGACTTGGGACAGCCAGACTATCTACATAATGAAAGGACACAACTGCATATTGTTTTAAACTTCTGACTTTGTAGTCATGTGTCAAAGCAACAATAGAAACTGATACAGGCTTTGGTTTCTCGAAGCACGGTAATATTTATAACAAACACCTTAAAGTGTAGAAGTGTTCTTTGTATTAGTTACTGGGTGAGGAAATTAAGGAGGGCATGGTAGGGGCCTCCACAGGGAAAGTGGGGGTAGGTAGGTGGGGAGAAAACAGTGCTAAAGATCAGTAAAAAATAACCTTAACAAGGGTTAAATGTTGTCAGGAGTCGGACACCAGGGTACAGGGAATACAAGGAGGGAAAACTAACACCAAAGACCTTTTGTGGAATATTATTTTTAGATGTGTTACATTCATTTATGCTGTGGAACGTTTGTTAAATGATATAAAAATGTGTTAAAATCTTTTATGTTGCATTTATATAACTGTAAAGATGTGTTTTTTTTGCATGTCGAAAACAACTTACTGTATTAAAAAAGAGATGAACAGCCAATAGCTAGGCAGGAGAGAGGAATAGGTGGGGGTGCCAAGCAGAGAGAATAAATAGAAGGAGAAATCTAGAGAAGAGAGGGAGGAAAAAGAAAAGAAGGAGAGGAGAATTCCAGGAAAGAAAGACATACAGAATAAAGAAAGGTAAAAAGCCCAGAGGGAAAATATAGTTAAAGAGAAATGGGATGATTTAAGTTAGAAAAGCTAGCTAGAAACAAGCCAAGGTAAGTCCAGGCATTCATAAGTAAGAATAAGACTTCGTGCATTTATTTGGGGGCTGGGTGGTGATACTGCCTACATGTAAGTTGAGTTTTCTGATCTTGACCTATGTGTTAATTAGGGTTTCTATTGCTGTTAAGACACACTATAACCACAGAAACTCTTACAAAGGAAAACATTTAATTCAGGCTGGCTAAGAGTTTCAGAGGCCCATAATCTTCATGGCAGCATGAAGACAGACATGGTACTGGAGAATGAGCAAGAGTTCAACTTCTTGATCTTCAGACAGCAGAAGCAACTGTGGGATTGGGTGTAGCGTAAGCATATGAGACTTCAAAGCCTGGCTCCACAGTAACACACTTCCTCCAACAAGGCTATATCTCCTAATAGGACATATCCCTATGGGCCAAGCAGTTAAACATAGATATTGGGTCTATACCTTAAAGAAATGCTCACAGATTTGTTTCTATGATGACTTTAAAACCTATAAAGTTGACAAGCAAGATTGCCACCCTGATTTTTAAAAATATTATTTAAAAATTCAACAGTTTTGAAGTAAAAGATTCACCTATATTTTGATGACCATTTTTAATCAGCATTATCCTAATTCTTATAATCATCCTACCTGAAACTGGACCCTCTGATTGATGTCTGACAAGTGGAACTGCTCCAGGAAGCGCTCGTCCTCACTCCAGAAGAGGCGGATGTCAGGGATATCATACAGGATCATAGCCAGTCTTTCTAACCCCAGGCCAAAAGCCCAGCCAATTCGATCTTGAGCACCAGCTGCAATTAGGAACAATGCAAAATGTCTGTTTAGCAAAGCATCAAGACCACACAGATGCCTGGTGCACTCTGATCAAGACTGACAATGCCTCTGAGTGGCAGGGCTGAAGAGTACTAGGGACTGATCTAAGACAATGTTCAATCTTATCTTCTCCTTCATGTCCACACTTACACCCCCCTGGAAGCTCTCTGGAATCATACCCGCTGGAGCATGTCTTTAACTTCTCAATGAAGTCAACGGGGAGATTTATGCATTGATGTTTCTCTTCCCTTCTTCCCCCTCTGTGTATGGGTGTGCACATTTGGGTGCATTTGTGTCTGAAGGTGCATGTGTTTGTGTTCAGGTCAGAGGTCAACAACAAAGAAAGAAGTTAAAGAAGATACAAGGTACTTTCTTGATTCCTTTTGTACCTCACTTTTTAAAGCTTTATTTCTTTTTATTTTATGTGTATGGTTGTTCTCCCTGCATGTACCTCTGTGTACCACATGCTCATAGTGCTCACAGAGGCCAAAAGAGAGTACTGGACCTTCAGGAACTGGAGCTCTAGATGTTTGTGAGCTGCCAGATGAGTGCTGGGAATGAAACCTGGGTCCTCTGCAAGAATAAAAAGTGTTCTTAACCACTGGCAGCATCAATACCTTATTTTGGAGATAGGATCTCTTAATATACCTGAAACATGCTGATTTATTGAGACTGGCTGGTTAGCAAGCCCAAGAGATCCTTTTGTCTTCATCTTCCCATCACTGATATGACAAGCATTCACTGTCATGCTTGGCTTTTTATTTGGGTGTGAGGGATCCAAAGTCAGGTCCTCATGATGGTATATCAAGTACGTTACCTACTGAGTCATCGCCCCAGCTCCAACTCCAACCCTTGCTCCTGCCTGTGATCTGTGTTTGCACTGATTCAAACATTTGTACCCTATATACAGAGCACTTAAGAGAAAGGAAGAAAAGATCTCTCCCTAAGTAGCTTACCATACAGACAAAAGTCTTCAAAATTGTCCAGAGCACATGGCTGACATTCAGAAAACAGTATCAGGCCTTCAAGAATTGAGCAAATGCCCCCATCCCTAACCCAGAAGCTATCACCAATCAATAACCACTTACAAATGAAAACTGAGTTTTCTCCAAGGGAGTCTTGGTGGGGAAACAAACTACTGTTAAGGGTAGACTGCGTGCGAAGCAGTGGGTGGCACAAAAATTTAACTCAATGGCATCTTTGTATGTTCTTTGTCTCATAATGCTATACCAAGGCTTTTTTTTTTCATTAATTCTCTCCCTTCCTATCTCGCTCCCTTACCCCCTCACCACAGAGGTTCAGTGCATATATATTATAGCTTCTGGTGTTGTGTGTATGGCAGTCCTGAGTGTATGAAAGAGTGGGTCTCTGAATCTGTATCTGTTTCTTGTGCCTTTTTTGGTGCTCTCATCCTGTTTGTTCATTTTGTCCTATTGTGCTGTGTTTGCTTTTGTTTTATCATTATCATTATATCATATTATAATCCCTTAGGAGCCTGTTTGTTTTCTAAAGAGACAGAAAGGGGGTAGATTTGGATGAGAGGGGAGGTAGGTAGGAACTGGAAGGAAGAGAGGACAGGGAAACAGTAACTAGGATATATTATATGAAAAAGACTCAATAAATACTTCACCTTTTAAAAATACTTTTTTAAAAATCCTTCATGACCTATCTTAAGAATGTGCAGAGAGCAGGCAAGCAGCATGGAAATGTATCCAAAAGTATTTATTCCTAAGGTAATGTGTCCTGTTCAGATTATGACACAGCCATGAATTTTAAGGCTGTATTTCACATATATGAGGTAAAATAAGAGGAGGAAGGCATGGGAGAACTTCACACAGCTAGAAAAGCATAGAAAGAACTCATGAAATAACACCATTCCAACTGAACACCAATGATGAAGAGAGTCCAATGGCAGTCAGAGGTGACCCCAAGATGCCCATCTCCATGCACATGTCCTAGAAAAAGCCCTCCCTGAGTGTGGTGAGGACCCACAAAGGGTGAGATTTCATGCCTGTGATTAGCCCATTTTATGTAAGACTCCATTTTTACAGACTAGAGAGAGTGGACTTTGTTGGCTATGAGCAGCCATATGGTCTTGGGAAGCCTCAAGGATCTGCAAGAGGAAATAGGAACCTCATTCCTATAAACCTAAGGAACAAATTACCCCAATAACTGGGTGTGCGGAGAAGTGGCCTTGTGAACTACAGATAAGCATTCTGCCAATGACTACTCTCATGTTTGTTCTGGCCAGAAGGCTTGGGCAAGGGGCAAGAGAAATGTCTCAGTGTTTAACAACATGGACTGATCTTGCAGAGGACAGCAGTTTTGATTCCCAGCACCCACATCAGGCAACTCACAACACCCTTAACTCCAACATTAGGGGAATCTGACAATTCCAGCCTCCCGGGACATCTGTAATCACACACACACACACACACACACACAGAGAGAGAGAGAGAGAGAGAGAGAGAGAGAGAGAGAGAGACCCATGCACTGTGTTTTTAAAAAAATAAAAGCTTGTTTATGTTGTGGCATCCAATCATCATTGAAGCTTTAAGAAAGAGCATGGTTTGCTCAGCTGTAATAAATTTCATCTTTAGAACACTTTGGTTTTGTCCCATCTAGACTTATATCTGAAATACATTCATCATTCTATCATGGTTCATTAAATTATTAAGACAATGCCAGAAAATCCCGTTAGGGATACTGATTACCAAACATAGTCTTCTTAAAGGAGGCTTCAGGAAATAAATAGATCTCAGATCTAAGAAAATTCCTGTGAGTCTTATGAACAAAAAAGGCTTCCTCCAGAACCACTGGGCTGTTTTTAACTTTGAGGATGCCATGCATTACATAATTGGTCATAATTCACTCTTTATTTCAGCCCTGTGGAAACTTGGAGCTAAACATGTATATCCACTTAAGAACTTTAAAAAATGCCCAGGATTTAAGTTTATGTTACCTCTATACCAGTTTTATTTTCATATCCTGATTTCCATGTTGCTCTGATTATTTCAACTATTTATTTAACCCTCTTCTATGTATTTTATAAGGTGTATTTTATAATTATTTGTGGAAGAGAACAAGCCATAAATAAACAACACTGGAAACCACTGTCAGCTGAAATGGGGACAATCTTCAGCTCTTTGGGATACTTGGCTGTAATTGATTGACAGGTGTTCAAAGACAGACAGAACTTACAGAAGGATTTCCCCCCTCATTCTAAAACCATAGACTCAAGAAGCCAGAATCACCAAAAGAGAAAACTCAATGCAGAAGGGTATTGTCACTAACAGAACCCTTGTGATGAGAGGCACCCAAGCATTCTAATGAGTGCCACTCCACAATGACTGAACATTTGTTGCTGAACGTCTTTATAAGAAAGTCAGTCACTGCATGTGGAAAAAGAGAGAAAGAGTAGGAGGTAGGCAATAGAAAAGAGGACAGCAAGATAGGATCACTGTGAAAGTAAAGTAGAGAAACAAAAGTGATCTTATGGTTTAGCCGATTCTAACCCATGGATGTGCCTATGAGATGGCGGGTCCTCCCAGCCCTTGCCTCTACAGCTATTGGGAAGGGATTGAAAAATATTAGCTAGTGCCTATTAAATGATGCTCCTTCAGGAGCAGAGTTCCCTCCAGAGATTACAACATAAAAACAAAGACTGTAGAAGTAAAGATAAATTTAAAGTACAATATAATTCCAGGGTGGGGATGGCTAGGAAAAAAACACACAGACTGTTACCAATGCTGAACAGTGGGGGACTGCTAACTTCTTTCCTTAAAAGCTGAGATGTACTTTCCTCTTTTATCTACAGTTCTTCATCAATAGCATTCTCAACTCTTGGGAGAGAATGATATCTTCTCTTCATTAGGGATAAAACTTAGGTCTAAAGAATCAGTGGGGCATGTGCTGATTTCCCACAGGTTCTGAATTTGACCTCAGGACCCAGCCCAGCAGCCCACATCATATGTAACTGGCTCCAGAAGAGCCAGTGCCCTCTGCTGCCTCCATGGATGCCTTTACTCACATGCATCCAGCAGCCACACAGTCACACACACAGACACTAATGAAAACAAATCTTTAAAAACTATAATTGCAAAGGCTTTCTTGGTCTCCTTTTATGGTTTTGCATCCTTGGCCCTTGCCATATTAACAAATGACAGTATGCATCCTTTGCTCTTATAAAACAAACTAAAGGAAATCCCTGAAGACAATCTTTTCAGCAGTTATAACATGAGAGTAAAAATCCATTAAAACTAAAGATAATAGAGTTTTAAAGTAAAGTAAAATTTCAAAGGGGCATACTCGGAAAAAAAAAACAGACTAATATCTCTTATGAACACAGATGCATAAATCCTCAACAAATTACTAGAAACCAAATTCAGCAGCATATTAAAAAGATTATACACTATGATCAAATGGGATTTGTGCAGGAATACACGCAAGGGTAATTCAAAATATAAGACCCAATGAAAGTAATATAGCAAGCTAGTAGAAAAAAGGGGGAAACACACACCATTATCATAATTAATGCCAAAAAGAATTTGATAAAATGCAACATACTTTCATGATTAAGTAAATTTTCAATAATCAGAACACAATGGAATATCCTCCACATAGCTAACATCATATTGAGCGGTGAAACACTGACAAAGGTGTTAGCTACCCCCACTTCTATTCACATAATACTGACAGTTCTAAACAGAAAAATTAGGTAAGAACAAGAGATAAAAGATACCCACTTGGAAGTTACAAAATATAATTATCTTATTTATAGATGACACAATTGTTATAGAAAACTTCAATGAGTCCATGAAAAAACATGAACTTTCAAATTCAGAAAAGTTGAGTAATACATAACTAAAATTGCAAAAAATATGTATAATTGAATTGCAAAAATCAACCATATGTCCAAATGTCAATAATGAACTATTTGAATTAATGAAAAAACTTTATTCACCAGAGTATCACGAAG